GTAGTAGTAGTAGTAGTAGTAAGTGACAAAAACAAAGATTTCGTGTAAGAAGTTGAGGCTTTTCGGCTTAACTCGCTTGGCCATTTTCCCCGGCAAGCTGTGTGAGTATTTCGAAACCCTGAACCGACACTAAGCCCTAAACTTTAACTGGAAGCCCCAAGCTTTGAACCCTCAGGCTCAATCACAGCCCTAAACCAACCTTAAAGCCTAAACCCAGGATTACGAGATCTTCGCGGTGAAGTACGGCGAGTTGACCGACACCTGCAAGAGGCCTGCGTCGGACAGCCGTTCGCGACGTTCTCTCACCGGCTCTTCAAAAAGAGCCGCCCAAGAGAGATGGTATAGAAGCCAAAGTAGTTACCTGTATCATTTCTTAGGGCTCCTCTGCTCATAATTATACTCTAAGATGCCCCAAGACCTTGTTCTGAAAATCAAGACGTTTATGGATCAAACTCTTGCATGGAGCATATCATGTCGGCAGGAAATCTAGTCCTCGTAGTGGAACCAAGTATCAGTTTCTGGGCTTGAGGCACCCGCGAAGTCTGCTTTCACATCACCCCTAAAACAAAAAACCCTGAAAACTGGACCCAAAAGCCTAAAGCCGAAACCCTGCACTGGACTCCAAAGCTCAAACATCCTGGACCCATGCAATGAAGCCGGAAGCGTCCGAAATCCCTTTATCGAGAAGGCCGCTGGTAGCCCCGACGCCGAGGAGGTCGGAAGTTGAAATCAAACTAGAATTAACAAACTCTATTCTGTTACTGTTGTGCTTGTGCTTCTTTCTTATTGTTGCTCTTCTTCTGTTGTTCTGAGTCTTCCTCCGATGGCGCTTGTCAGTGGTGCCCAATGGGGCCTCCTTGCAGGTTTGGGGATTTGGATTTGCTGTGCATAGTATGTCTGGCCGTATCGGAAGCTTTATTGTTGTTCTCAGTGGTTTATTATCGTGTTTGCCGGCCTCAATCCTACAGACGGAGCTAGTTCGATCCTGCCAAGGGTCAGAAGCGTTTTGCGGCGCAGAGCTCCCTCGGTCCAAAGCCGCAGATCGCAGAGCTAGAAAATGTTGGCCAGGGACGAAGCACCCGCGCCTGCGCCTGCGCCCACGTGAGTTGCTGTACTTTTGGTATCTATCTGAGATCTTGCGAAGGTAGCTTCTCGTGGCCAGAGTCGGGATTCATGCAGACTTCCAGCTGTATTGGTAGTCCTTATATGAGATGTGCCATACTACATCGCACATATTGTATTTTATACTGTATACTGTATTGTATGGTACGGTACTGTATTGTATTGTATTGTATGATTATATGGTTATATGACATGTCATGGTATGATATGATATGATATGATGCGATAGTTCATGATATGATCTGATATGATATGGTATCATATTATTTATTTCATATTATGCTGTATTGTGTTGGGACGGCCTGAAGGTCTTTTCACTGGCAACAACAGCTGCCTGTCCACAGTCCCATTCACATTCCTCCAATGCAACAGGAGTACCTTAAACCCTAAATCCTGAACCCCTGTCCTAGTGAGCAACTTGAAGAATTAAATCCGTCCCTAATGCATCGCATCCTTATGGGACAAGAAAAGCCCCGGCAGCCGGGGACCATGAGAATATATAGGGGCCTAAATAATTACCTGTACTATTTCGGTGGTTCCTTATTATAACCAGAGCATAGTATACCTCAAAACCCTGTTCCAATCATTAAGGCCCTACATTATGTGATACAGCAAAATATAATACAGTATCATATTTTATGATACAGGCGCTGCCCTTCAGCACGAGATGTAACAGACCCGAGTGAAGGCATGCACCAGCGTTTCGTCGTCACACTGTGCCTCTAAACCCTGAACCCTGCAGCCCCAAACGTCAAACCTGAACAACGTGTTTCAGGGGTCGGGATGAGTAGTGATAATCTCGCTTATGGTCCTTGTACAAATACACTGCAATATACCACCACAAAACCTTATTGTAACTATAAGGCCCCTCTATGAAACCATGGGCCCTGTTTCGGGGCAGGTCGTAACACTTTATAAAGCCCACTCAGAACTCTGAACTCTAACCCAAACCCCAAACCCTAAACCCTAGTTAGGTCTGGCCCTGTTTCACCATGGGCCCGCAAGAAACGTTGCGGCCTGGAAAACCCCATCGGGGCCACTCCGAGAGTTGGCCATCTTAGAGCCTTGCAGTCGCCGGTGTAGGGTTTAGGGTTTTGTAGACCCTTGCACTCGCCTCTTCCCAGGGGTATCGTTTTTGCATACCAAATGTTTAGAGTCTAGCGCTTAGGCTTGAGGGTTTGGGATTTCCGGTTTTGCGTTCTGGGTTTGGGCTGCAGGACTTCAGGGCTTTGACTTGATGTAGGTGTTGTCTGAGGGTTTTCACAAGTCGTAACCTTCGCCAAGGGTTCAGGGGTTCAGGGTTGTGTGGGGAAGGATTCCGGGGTTTGGGGTTGAGGGGTTACGGGTTTGAGGGTAGTGCGAGCTCGGCAACTCCTCGGGTAAATATTTGTTTGGGAAACTTCGGTTTCGGTACTTGCAGGCTCCTTTTCTGACACTATCGTTTCTCCAGCTTTGTATATTTTAATGTTAGCGTGCTTGTCCTTCTGCTATTGCTGCAAACGGTGTCGGCATGGACTTTCCTGATATTGTTCGCTGAGCATGCTTTGGTTGCTCTGAATCTTGCACTCTTCGACTGCATTTTCTTGCACCGCAGCTGTTAACAGCCGGTATTGCTACGATTGCCACAGACACAGTCTGCTTTTGGGGCGGTTGTGTGTCTGTTCATGACTCTGATTGTGGTGGATGTCCTTTCCAGATGAGGATGAGGGTGCTAGTGATCGTGGTGCATATGATGGTCATGGACATGGTGGTGATGGCCGGAACGAGGCTGATGGCGATGATGATTTCGAATCTTGAATCGGTGAGGGGCAGGTATTCATCAGGAATCAAACATGTGTCCGCCGAACTACTTCACGCTTCATGTGCTTGGATTTATGCTGATCTCGGCAATGTGATTTAGTTCAGGCGTTCGGAAGGGAGTGCTGATTGAATCATACAGAAGCTTGAATAATTACCAATATCACGTCGTAGGGTTCCTTACTATCTATTTGTACTATACAAGAGCCCAACACTCTCATCTAATTATTTAGGGCCCCTTCATTGGCGCTTGACAGTTCTTGGTTTTCACCGGGCCGGCGTTCGGACGCCGAAACCAAGCGAGGCTTTTAACGTCGAGCCGAGCTCGACCGAAGGGCACCGTTAAGGGTATCACTAGACTATACTTTGCTTTACTAGAGTATACGAGTATACTAGAGTATAGTATACTGTAGTAGAGAATGCTGTAGTATAGTAGAGTACACTACAATCTTCTCTTGGATTGAAGTGCGCCGCATTGCCAATGACGATGGACCTGACCTATGTTTGCCTAAGAAGCCAAGTTCCGCAACCGCTCCAAAGTGTGCCGCAAACCCACACTGTGACCGCACACAAACCTCAAAGAACCTTAGCCTAAAGCCAAGCAGTGCCAACAATCAGCCATTGGCTCGCTTTCCTGGCCCTGAAAACAGCGCCAAATGTAGCTCGATAGTCTTGTCCGACGGAGGAGGTTGGCCGCTGGCGACTCTGTGTTCGTGGCATTCAATTTGCAACTTCTGGTAATGAAAATGATCACGCTCAAATCCCCTCCCTCGGACAGTCCGCCACAGCCCACCCCCCAAACGTCTTAGCGAATGAAACAATGAGCGAATAGATGTCTCCATTATTGTCGAGCGAGACCTTCTCTGAAGTGAGCGAACAATGAAGCGACTTTTCGAGGACCCGGGGACTTAGTTACTAGGTTGTAAATTCAGATGGCCACACTCGGGGTACGTAAAACTCAGTCCCATCATGAGGCTCTAAGCGACAGAATCAATGAATCAATCGGCGAATCGAATCAGTCAGCCTGGTTACCACCTGGCTGCCCCTAAACCCTGAGCCCTAAACCCTAAGCCGTGGATCCGTTCGTCGGTAGCATCTTAGCCCTCGAAGCCGGCGAGCCATCCTCCTGCAGCCAGGGAAGCCAGTTAAAAAAGTGGCGCAGTATCCCTCCGTTCGACCTCACAGCCGAAGTTGCAGCTACTTTCTGGTGTCTGTGGTGTGCAGCATCACTTCGAGATTTCCCACAACCAGCGAAGAGTCCTTCATATACTGTCATATACTCTGCTCATGCGTGCGTCCTTCGTCTTATCGGCCTCATAGTTCAATTTAGTTTAGATCCGTCTAGAGTTGTCAGGGTCATAAACAAAGAGTTCCCATCAAGCTCGTGCATTACACTCAACTGACGTTAACTCACCCAGCCCTAAATATATGGCATCAGATGCCGTCGACGTAGGTACATGGCATCCGATACAATCAGATTGTTGATGATGCTGACGACGATGATGATGACGACGATGATGATGATGATGAGCTTGATCATGATCAGGCCAGAACAATTAGTACCACTAGTAAGGCTTAATCACCACTTCAATGTTGGAGAAGCAGTTGACTCAGTTGACCTTGGGACATCATGTCAGCACAGTGATAAGAATAGCTGTACGGGCAGGAACGAGTGATGAGAAGCGCAACGCTGACAGTCGTAACGACGAACCTTGCGACGGTAAGCTTAAAGGAGTAGCAGAAGGTGGCAGCAGCATCGCACGTGCGACCACTGACAAAGCCGAGATGAATAACATCGTGGCCGCAATATTGTTCGTCAGGATTCCTAATTATATCTATACATATAAGGTACCCGGTAGCGCAAACTAAGACCCCATATTCGTGATAGCTTCTGCGCCCAGCCATTGTGGTTTCAAACGCAGCCTTGAAGAGTCCCGGCGCACTGCCTCTGCCCTTCATCCGATGCATCCCTGCCAGGGCTTTGTTGGCTTTGCAAGCCTTTTCCTTCGCTTGCATGCCTCGGAATGCCTCGTCGGGCAGCTCTGTGAGACTTCAGAAGATGTTGGACAGGATGGACCATCTTTGCTCCAGACACCTCCACAAAATGGCCAGCGCGGTCGTGCCAAGGAGTTTGTGGCCCTTCCGTTGGCCAACCCTTGCGTCCTGAATACCACGGACATCGAGTGTCCATATCGCTTCAACGACCAGCCACTCCGGTGGGTGAAGTTGACCTATCCGAAAAGGCCCTTCACCTCCAACAATACCGGGTTTAGTGTTTAGGGTCATACTACAAGGTAGCCCAAAGCCGTATTCTAATTATTAAGGCCATTCACCTCCATCGATGAAGTCTCCTGGGAAGAAGCCGAGGGATCGCCTGCTTTGGGCCCCTCGGATGAGCCTTTTCATTTGTCATTAAAGGGCGATTTAGGTTGAAGAAGCACTCATGAAGGCAAAAGGCAAACCACGCGCAGAAGTCTGAGCCGCTACATCCCGAAGCCCTAAGCCCTTTAAAAGCACCTGAAAACTCCTAAACAATTAAATCCTAAACCCCTAAAGCCTAAACTTCAAACCCTAAATTCAAACCCTACACTTCAAACCCTAAACCCTAAACCCAAAGCCCCAAGCCCTTGTAAGGCCCTGTAAAGCCCCAGCGACCTCACATCCAAGGCAAGTTGGACACGATGACTCTGGGGGTCCATAACTTTGCCTTGGCTGCCAAGCTTCATCCGAGCTTCCGGAGGGTGACTTGCCTCTGAATGAACTTGGGGTTTTTAGGGTTTAGGGGTTTTAGGGGTTTCGGGTTCAAGGGTTTAAAGGTTTAAGGGTTTAGGGGTTTAGGGTTTGGGGGGTTTAGGGTTTTTGCCGCCCTCCGTGTCCCTGATTCTATATCAAGCTTCCACAAGGCTCCTTTACGGCTTCTTTGAGGGTCTTCTGGAAATTCTGTTTTCAGTTGTCATTGCTGAAGGGCTTTGTGCAAAGACGAGCTCAGGAGAGGAAGCTCTACGGCTTGGTCACCACGTACAAGGTGCGGCGGCGGGGGGTGGCAAGAGTACGACTACGGTTGAGGGTTTAGGTAAAGGCTACGGTTGATTATTGAAATACTAGTAATTGAATGGTGGTGTTAGAATAGTATTCCTAGCGTTTCCTACTCAAATAGAAGTATACTCTACATGTTCCGATTAGTCTGGACCCTATGCTTAACCGGTGTGGTGGCGGGGATTGGTCTTCTGGGTTCTTGCTCTACGTGAAAGTATGCTCTACCCCATGACCGTATTCTTCTAGCTGTTCAGTCTTGTAATGGAAGCCTGAGTGGATGCCATAGTCTTGTGCTGAATTGTCGCGCGCTTTTTTCGCGGTGCTTCCTGAAAAACAGAAAGTGGTCAGTACGTATGGCAATATCGCGCACGTCCCGAGCACGGCAGCCGTTGACAGCGTAAAGTTTATACGGCTGGTTGAAGTACAACTGTGGTTAATAACTTTCGTTTTCGTACCTTCACACATTGCTCGTCATGGTGCTTTCCAGTGTGCTTAGATGATTGCCGCACTAGCGCGTCACTGTTGGGTTATTGTAGTAGTACCATAATTATTGTCGAATGGGGCAATAATGTGCTACTTCGGGCTTGTGTGACGCCATTTATTTGCTGGCTCTGCATCGATGCCTGCGAGGCTGGCCACCCGAAGCATCTGACTGGAGGTTGCTGTGCAGACTACCTGCGAGTACCTTGTAAAGGATACTTTGCTTTTCGGGTTTGGAGTTCGGTGTTCTGTTTCGTGTTTCGGGTTGTGATGTGTAGAGGTCAAGGTTTAGGGTCCGGCAGAGAGTGCGGAGTCAACTGGTGCATGCTGGCCGTCAAACCTGTCGCAGAGCCCAGGTATGGGATTCGAGCTATGGCGATGCCAAGTACGAGGACATCAATATCCTGGCTGCCGCAGAAAGGGCCCTCAGCAAGAAGCCACTAGTCTTTGTGGCGCCCACCCACACCTTCTTCCTAGAAGAGTTTGACGGCGTCCTACATGCAATCATCTGTGTTCAATACAAGGAGAAGCAGACTGACAACAACTTCGGAGGCGTATTTCTGGATGCATTCATTGTGCTTAATCTGGAGGACGGTAGGACTTTAAAGAAGACGGCCGACGGAGAAGATTTCTTTTCCATTTACGATAGCCTAGGGACTTTTGCAAGCGAGAGCAGCGAGACGATCTACAAAATTCCATTCAAGAACGTGAGCAACAAGACACGCAACCCAGATAGTCCGGCCTTCACCCAACAATGGCACCTCAACGGTGTCACCCGGTTCATCGCCGGAGACACCGCGGTCCTCGCCTTCACCACGTACTTCCTGAATGCCGCAGTCCTGCTGAAGGACCCAACACAGTGAAGTAACGGTTCCATGTGTTAGAGCTGTGGCCTCTGGGCCTATGTTAGTGCCAAAAGAAGGGATGCTTCAGGACCCGTTCACCCACAAGAGCGCAGACGGGGGCGGCGAAATCCTGCAGCAGTTCGGCATGCCAGGCTATGGGGAGTCTTCGCGGACGGTGCCTGGCGAAGCGGCTCCGATGACGCCCCCGCACAAGTTCGGCATGGCTGCAGATGTAACGGGTTGGGACGGCGTCCACAATGTCTACCCCTACCAGAAGGACGATCTTCTCGACCATTTAGACTTGTGCGGTCTAGTACGATACTGCGGTGTACCGTAGTTCGCATATCGAAAACCATCCGCCAGTCACAGGGAAACCAAAAGCAAAACGTAGAATCAAGTCCGGTGAAGTAAATAGTACAGCTCAGAGTGTCCGGCTGGCAGTTCGCGGAAGCAGTGTACACGAATATGGAAGCACGAGGAAGATCGTTACCCGCCAAGCAGCATGTAATTCATTATTATGGTAAAAATCAAAGACGGGTGTGTAGTGTCGCTTATTAGAACCTATGTAGTGACTATAACTGTTCAAAGTAGCACAAGCATCAGTCTTCGTGTCAGTGTTGGCAGTATTAGTAGTGCTTTTCACTTCTCTTGTTGCTGCTGTCACTACTTCTGTGAATATTACGGTTGATTCTGTTGCTATTACCAATATTGTTGCTTCTGTTGCTGCCAATGCTTGCCTGAGTGAAGTCGGCTTTTCCAGGTGTTTCGGCCCAAGGCCAGGCTCTGGCAGCTCTGGAATCAGAGAGCTAGGTTTGGTCTCCTGTGAGCAATCTTGTGCACCTCAAAAGGCGTCCAGTCCTCACAGAACGACAGAACCCCTTACCACACCCTTCATTGGTGGCTTTCTGCGGTGGGGATGGGCCTCCCTCCGTTTCTCAGTTTCAGCTCCTCGTCTATTGTGACTTGAGCTCATGTCTTCCTGCATCTTCGGAAAGCACCGGACGCCGCTCGAGATCTACGGCCGATCGTTGCCCAATGATGCAGACGCCGCTGGGCGCCGTAAGTCCTGTAGATCTGCAGCAAGTCTCGCCCCAGCTAGGCGTACGCAGACGGCTCACGTTCTTGCGGCTTCGGGTTCGTTAGGATTTCGATTTCTGAGGCAGCTCCGATGCACTTCCCCATGTACACCGTAGCTGCGGATGTGCTGCTGAAGATGACGAGGGTCGAGCCCCACGAGATGTTGAAGGCCGCCACACTGTGGAGTTAGGATATGCTAGCACTGCTAGGATGTTACATTGAAGGGCTTTAAATTCAAACATGTGCCATCCGTACAACTCCCATGCCGTCCTACGAGAGCTGGACTACACATTCATGATAGTCCCCCGGTGTCTCTCCTTCAAGGCTTCCTTCCCCTTCAACGAGCAAAAGGGAGTGGGTGCAAAGACCTACACCAATCGCTGTTGGCTTTTTACGAATACTTGTCGGCAGGGCCTCGTAGCGTTTTAGCATCCGAAGGCCAACGGCGAGCTCGTTGTCTTCAGCGAGGACGTGGGCAAGGCAGCGTTCGTTTCACATCAGTGGCTTGCCAAGGACCACCCAGATCCGGATTTCAAGCAGATGCGTACCCTGCAGAACGCCTTGAAAAGAATTCTGACCAGCGCTGGATCTCTTTCGCTGGATTTCGTTACAGAAGCCGTTGTCCAAACGGCAAAGCCTCTTCCTATGCAGGATTTCCAGCTGGATACCTTGTATTTCTGGTACGATTATTTCTCATGCCCGCAGCTGCAGTGTCAAGGCCAAGTGTCCGAGACGGACTACCTCCACCAAGCCAGGGCCATCAGCAGCATACCCGGCTACATCAGCGAGTGCCACTTCTTTTTTGCCCTGTGTCCGGTGGTCGACTGCCCCGTGCAGGGCAAGGTCTTAACAGCAAGGACCTGGAGCAGCCATCAGCGGGAAGACGTCCTGGCGCGCGGGCGGCGCGCCTCCGTGGTGGCGGGGCCCCTCTCCGAGGGGGCTTCGAACTTTCCCGACCTCATCGCCCTGGAGCTGGCCTATGCAGAGGACAGTCAGGAGTTGTGTTGCGTAGTGTTTTGCTGTGACGGGCAGCTGCCCGACAATACGTGCGTTGGAGCCGAAAGCTCACGCTGCAGCCGTGGGTTTAGGCCTGAGCTTTGGTTCCCCCTAGGGTTCGGGTTCCCTTGGGTCGTCTTTGCTGTGCATTCCTTTCCCCGCCTTCGCCTCAACCGCCCCAATGGCTTGTTGGGCCAACGAATCGGAGAAGCATCCCACCCAGGGCCTGGTGCGTCAGCGGTTACCAAGCGCAAGCGCAACCAGGCACGGCAAGCCCAGCTACTTACGGTCCTTGAGGGGATTCTCAAGTTGCTTTCTGGTAAGGGTGCGGGAGGACTTCAGTCTTTGATTGAGGCTTTGGGGCCTCTTCTTGCTGGTAGTGCCTCTCCTGCGCCCGCCCGTCCTAAAGCCAAAGCTAAGCCCAAGGCAAAGCCGAAAGCTGCCAATCAGCCCCGGCCTTCGGGCCCCCCTGCTGAACCATCATTGCCTCGAGTTGTGACGGCGCCCGCGGCCCCGCCGCCGCGCCCAGCCCAGCCGGCTCCCTCCTTTGCATTGCGCCCAGGTGACTTCCACGGCACGGTTGTCCTGTATGATGAGCTCTCGGCTAAGCTTGCTTCTACCCCGAAGGGTCCGCTCGTTTTGCTTGCCGCTGATGCGGAGCAGGCCGACGCGGCGGCCCAGCAGATTACAGGGCATGGGCTTCATTCGGCTTGGGTTTTCCATAGGGATCGGGCGGGGACTTTGGTGATCCCGCTTGCCTCAGGGACAAAGGTTGTTACCCAGCACGTCGTTCGCACTGATGTGTGTTGTGCTGGGGTTGCGGCCCCGTCCTTGAAATCCTCTCCCAAGCCTGCGCCTGCGCCGGCTTCAGCCACCACAGTGATTCGAGTTGTTGCGTGTCAGGGGCTTGCTCCCCCTAAGCTTTGGCAAAGGGCTCTTGCTGCACCCCGCGGTTTCATTCAGGAGTGGGGTAGGCTTGCGCTTCCTCTTGATAAGCAGCACTGTCTGAAGGATGCCTGGCAGTTTGCGAAGCACACCCGTGGCAACCATCAGCTTGTACAAGGCCTGGCCCGTGTCGACACAGCATGTGTGCGAGAGCTCTTCAAGGCCTCCGGCCAGCAAGGGGTTTTCGTTGAGCCGGTGGGGCGGCAGGACACGACGCCCACCGTTTCGGTTGTTTGGCACAAGCCTCTTCGGGATGAGGGCCTTAGTGCTTTGCATGAGCGGTTGCTGGCCGAGCGGCCGGCTTTCGGATTGCTTCTTGGTAACAGGGAGCTTGGCACCCGCGTTGCCCCTCAGGAGGGGCAGGCCCCCACGCGCACCTGGACCATCACAGGTACGCCACCGCCTTGGACCGACGACTATATTAGGTCCCTGCTTGTGTCCCAGACCTCTCTTCAGAACCCGGCTGTTGTTCGACGGTTGGTTAGGAAAGGGGCCTGTTCCTGGTGGATAAGGGCGTCTGCGGGCGCCGGTGCTGATGCACAGCAGATTGTTGTTGAGTCACCGGAGGGGGAGCGATCGTACTGGGTCCTTCCTGCCCCCGCCCGGCCAGGTACGCGAGATCGTGGGCAGCCGCTGCGTGCTGGCCCCTTTGCGTTCAAACGCGAGGCGTTNNCCAGGAGCGAAGAAGGTAGCTGCAGCTGCTGTTCGGTACCGCCAGATCCCTTCTGAACTTGAGCGCCACGTTGTGCCGGGCGATGGTTCCTGCCTGTTCCATTGCCTGGCCAAAGCTTTGCCCACAGCGCCGTCCCCGGACAAGGCGCGTGCTGAGACCATTGCCCACATGCGTAAGTATGCCGCCTCTTTCCAGAAGCGGTGGGATGGCTG